CCTTCCTTCCTTCCTTCCTTCCTTCCTTCCTTCCTTCCTTCCTTCCTTCCTTACACATCCTTTGTTTTTCTTGGTTGCTTATCAAAAGCTGGTTCTCTTTAGTAATGGTCTCCAGAGAATAATCTCCAATAGATTCAGGGTGAATTTTCATATAATTAATTTGAAAACTAGGATTAAAGTAACTTTGATTTTAACCCCCAGATTCCAAATACTCCGTCACCGCCCCGCTCACGTACGCCGTGCGGAGTACTTGTTTGTCATGTTAATCAATGAGAGCTGTTCTACATCCACCGCTACTCCTCCACATGTCACCGTTGACATACTGTATGTCTTTTCCGTCCGTCACCGTCAGTCGAGCTATTTTTTGCTCCGCTCCTGTCCAGCCAGGTCAGGATCCGCAATTGCAATCGCACCAAAGAGGAAAAAGAATGGCTTTTCCGGTTTTTCAAATTAAAATACGGTAACGATGGATCGGTAACTACAAATAAGAGCATAATTTTTCGATATTCCCAAAAATTAAGACTGTTTAATTAAATGATTAAATGAACTATTGATACTTCAGCATACCATGAAGCAGGTTTCTCTTCTCAGTCAAAATATTTATTTCATGCCGAGAGCCTTAAAAGTTTAATCAAATCCAGTCACAACAACTTCCAAGATCGCATCTCAAACTTCTTATCGCAGGCATGGATAAAGAGATGCTGAGTTTGGAAGTAGAGAACAAACATAGTTCATACAAGTTATCTACGATCATATCCCTGTTTTTTAATGTCGTATTAAATTAAGCGTTCTTTTCCGCATGTTTTGCTCCTATGAATTTAATAATAATATGGCGCATGCTCTCCTCAAGTTCCGAGGGAGTCGGAGCTGAGCAAGATGGGAGGAACAACAGAGGCTGCAGGCTTTGCTTTGCGCAGGCGGTCTGGAACGGAGCGGGGCGGTGGGGAGGGCTTAATGTGGGATGTCGGTGTTAAAATGTATGTTATCCTGACATTAAAATGTTGAAAAAAATGGTGATGGACTCAGATGCATATTTTGAGGCAAAGCTTGTCTTCACAGTAAACAGCGTCACAACAAGCTGTGGAGGCCTGACACAGATGAGGAAGGATCAGATGATCTGCAAGCATCGGGTCACAGTACAGGTGGAGAGGAGACTCCGGTGCTCGGAGGGGAAGAGGCCTGGGGAGGCTGCGGGGCGTCTCCATGCAGGGGTCTGGAGATGGAACCCTTAGACTCTCTGAATTATAACTACTATTTCAGACGTTTATCAGATTCTGCTCTTGACAGCGAGCCCTCCACCCCAGTGAGGGGACCTCCTCTTTTAGGCATGGAGAGGGTTTTCATCGAAATAGAGGACGTGGAGCGAGACGCTCTGCTAGAGGATGAGGGCTTCCCCATGGCCCACCTTACTCTGCCCGGAGAGGGCACGGCCGCTCAGACATGCGGACGCGTCGACCCAATGGAAGACATGAGACTGAGGCTGGAGTTCAGCACTCTTGAGGAGGAGGATGAGGAAGAGGCCAAGAAGGAGGAGGAAGAGATGGCAGCCTTGGCTCAAACACCCGGGAGTTCAGATGGAAGGAGGACAGGAGAGGAGGCTGAGGGGAGCGAGGAGAGCCAGTTGGGTTTGGCCAACCTGAACACAAACAACAGCAACCGCCTGGCTGCAAAACGCAGCTGTCCTGCAGCTTTTGATGTGAGTTTTTCAAATATTTATGTCGATAATGTGATGAATTTTAAAAGTAATTTATGTTTGGAAAAGTGGTGCATCCAGAAATTTCTCCTCAGAATATCAGTAATCTTTTTCCTGATCATTGAACGCACCATATATTGTTAGATGTATGAACAACAGATGTGTTGTAATTGCAGATAGTTTCTTTCCAACTTTAAAAACATTTAAAAACCTATCTTTAACTTAAGAAGCCTTAAGTTAAAGATATGCTTTGAGCTGAAGATCTAAAATCTATTGCTGATGGTTTATATCTCAATAACTTCCTTGGACCCTTGGTGCTGTACAACCCATGTCCTGAATGTGTACTTTAAAGGTTTGAATAAGTAAAATACACACATACCTACAAGTGTTTGCTAGTATTGCTAATGGTAGTTGGTTTGACACTGAGTTATATACCACAGCCATGAGCATATCCTGTTGGTTTCTCAGCCTGGAACTTGAAGATTTATTTTCTGCCTGCAGAGATAAACCAGTAGCACCAATTAAACTGACTGTTAATGAAGTGGAAACTTCAAATATTTTAATATTCTCTTCTAAACTGCATATTGTTTTATTTTTTTGTGTATCAGTTTAATATACGGTTAGTTCATTAGCTTTATTTTTGATCTATTGCGATTATTCTTTACACAGATGTCAAATATTGCTAAAAGTAGAGAGGTCAGGGGATTTTTTTTACCAGTTTGTCCAAGTTATTATTGTAAAGTTTATTTAATAAATTAAAAATTTAATTCAATTTATAAGTGAATTTAAAAATGTTCTCAATTCTGTTTCAGCCAAGCTTTACAAAACTTAAAGATTAGAAATAAACCACAAAGTTCCTATGAATGCCTCCCTAATCATAATAAATTTTTCCTTTATCACATCACTGACTCTATTCTGTCTGTGTCGATTTGATCCATTTAGGACAGCGCCAGCACAGGGAACCCATTAAAAGTGAAGCCTTCCTATCAGTCCTGTAAAGACTGCATGCGTCTTCCACAAGGGCGGCGCTGCGACCGTCCAGCAGGGGGCCGTTCCCACCGCCTTAACCCATCCCGCCACTGCACCGTCCCCTCCATATGCATAGATCCTCCAGGAACACACTTTACATCAACCCCCAAAGTCATTCCTTCTAACTTGGTCCAACCCTGCACTCATTTCTACCAATGCTCTAGCTGCACGCTTGGTGACACGACCCCCCCTGAAGCCGACCACCAAAAAGTTTTCTCTCCTATGAACTGTGAGGAAACTCCTCCAGACTGCAGCTCGGCAGAGGATATGGAAGAACCGCAGAACGCGGATCAGACGGACGAGGTTAGGAGGCAGAATAACGATGCCATCGAAGTGACTGAAGCTGACGGATTGAAATTTTGTGCTGAAATTGCAAGCTTCCAGTAAGGCCTCAGATTGATGCATCCATGAAGGAGCTGGCTTAGCACTGCCTTGGCTGTGATGCTGTGGTGATGCAGCGGCCTCTGCTGTACCATCCTTGCCTCGTAGCTTCATAAACTAAAGCTGTACAGAGAGCACCCTGCTATAGAAGCTGGCCTTTTTCAAAACATGCTTGGATTGGCCTGAGTAAGGAGAGAGACCTCCTGATCACCTGTCCAAGAGGCTTGTATGAACCCTGTAAACGTTCCAGTCCCACCACACATTTCAGTGATGATGCTGCCGTCTTACCTTCAACACAGGTTGTCAGATCTATTTTTTTTTTAAGCACCAGGCACAACACAACTGGCTTTCGTCAGCATGCTCTATGGTTTCAATCATATTCAAAGTATTCAGTATTTATTAGTGAGTTAATACAATATTTAAAATTGATCTCATCATGTTACCGTCTTATCTAACTTCAGCTATACTGTGGCTACTGCAGCTGCTTTTTGCTTTGTGCGTGAAATCACAATCATTTCACTAAATTTAAAAAGATATAATCATATCAGTCTTTTAACTTCAAGTATTTCAGACTGTTTTGGTGAAGGACTGTTTTGTTCCCATTGTGCTTATCTTATTCAGCTTCACCTCCTCTGTTAAAATTAATTAAGTCGTCTACTCTAGAGACACAGTTTAGCCCACATGTAGGCATGCAAATAATATTTAAAGTTTTCATCACATTCAACATTTTCTGCTGAACTAAATAGTGTTTGGATTTATATTGTACCTTGATTGGTCAAAGTATGTAGTAACAGCTAAAAGCACATTGATTTAAAGTTGAAATCTGTCATTTTTCGACAAAAAAAATTGTGATTAAACTGCAGTTCCATTTTAACTGAGCTATAAATTGCTCTCGACCTCCAATCCCTCGCTTCTTGTGTGTGTTTCTACTGTTGGATGTAAAACTGTGCTGTTACATCAGTAATGTCACCTGAGAGGGTATTTTCCATCTAAAGAAAAGAGTAGACCCCTGAAATCTACCCTGCATCCTGGAAAGGGTTGGTGTTCAGAGTTGTCACAATTTGATGACAACCCGGCCATGGCGGCCTCTGGCCAAGGCTTAAACCTCATCACACCCCCATTTTCCTCCAAATACCATAACCTACAGTATTTCAAGGCAAGGGGCAGTATGCTCGTCTTCAAAACGAGCAAAGACTGCTATGGAGACTGAGGGAAGTTTTAAGATCATCAGGGTAAACTTCAACAGCAATCAGCAGTTTATTGATTAGCAGAGCACCTAATTTATTTGGTGCATAATTTTAACAACAGTCGCAGCACACTGTATGAAAATATCTCCGGCTTTAGAGCCTTGGTGTAATAACGGTGCTGTTTGATTCTCCACAGTAGGACTGAAAGTGAGGATTAAGGTGCAGAAACCTCTTTTTTTAATAATATTTATATCAGGAAAACTGAATGCTGTGAAGAAATGTCTTCGACCTTCACACTATAAGGGTTTCCAAATTTAAGGAAAGATTTAGCCTTATTTCAAGTCATGGTGACTTTAGAGGTCATGGGGTGATCTAATCTTATGTTAAAAGGGCTTAAGAAGGTTAGTCCTGCTGGCTTTCTCAAGCCTGTAAAGTTTTGTGCATCGACCAGGCATAGAAATAGTGCTATTTGATCTGGTCAGTAATATTTTTGTTTTTGGAAAAATATAGCTACAGAATATTTAATCTAAAGACATTTTGATAATAATCATCCGTTTTGTAAAGAAGGTGAAACTCTAGCAAAAGTTGGAAAATATTCCATATTTCTGGTAACTATTAATGTTCCAGACTGTGAATGGTGTATGGAACATGTAGTTTTTGACAAATCTGATTTGTTCAAATATTTTTGCCCGCTTTTTATTTAAAAAAATAAATAAATTATTTTACATGGGCATCTAGCCCAAATCGTCCAATTTTTGTCCAATTTATTGGAAGTTGAGCCATGATTCGTTCCTCTTCAGGTTTTCGCTGTGTAGCTGATGATGAGTTCTGCTTGTTTAGGGCTAAGGCTGAATGATGCCTGTTTGTGTGCAGAAAAAGCATGTTAGTTATATTGTTCTGACTGTTCTGAGCACTTTAGGCAAAAAGAAGAGCTGGAAAAAATATTGATGGTATTTACCTTTTCTGTATTACTTTAAATATTTTTATATGTCTTAAAAATCATCCAGTGTTTTGTAACTGATTCTGAGGGAGCTGCAAGTCTGATCAGGTTAGGTTACTTTGGGTTTCTCTCAAGCTGTTGTTCCTTGCACTGACTGAGCATTGTCTAAGTATTTTTTTGCATAAACCAATGGCACACATTTGAGAGTCCAATCCTAAAGAGAACATATTATGGAGTTGAATGTTTGCAAGCAGTTGTGTCTGATCAGTTTTTGTTAGCATTGACCAAATCCTTTAGTTTATTTTAGAGCCACAAGATCCAAACATGTTTGTTGGGATCTTGTGGCATCTAGTGGTGAAGCAGGGAACTGCAGCTTCAAAACATTCACCTAGCGTGGCAGATTGGGCTGCCATTCCTTTTCACATATTTGACTAATTGATATATTATACATCTTAACTGTACCATGCTGTGATGTTTTAATCTAGCAAACCATTAACTAGTTGTAGCATTATCTTTTTTTATATAAATACAGTTGCCCAATTTTAGTCCATATAGTTCCACTGTGATATTAAAGAATCCTGGATATATTATTTTGCTTAAATCCCAAACATGTGCCTGCATGAGAGGTTTTCAAGATTATTTCTGTCTGTTAAAAAAAATGTCACTTTAGGTCTATTTATTAACATCAGTTGGTATTTGTGAAAACTCTACTTCTTCCTTAGACTTCTTGTTCTTTTATCCAGAACTATGAGGTTCATGTCCCATCCAGTGTTATTGTTCATATCATTATTTGTTTTTTTTACAATCTTTTTTGTTTGATATAGGGTAGATTTATCTTTTTTTTTTTTTTATCTCTCTTAATGGTCTTTGGGATATGTTGCATTAAAATGGGATTATGTGAAGTTATTCTAGTTTTATTTGGGATCATATCATAGTGTTAAATGTCCCAAATAGAGATCAGAACCAGATTATATAAAAATCTACAGAAAATATTCAACATTACAATGACGCACTGATTGGTTTGATTATGAATCTTTATCTCTATTATTAATAGTAAACACTGACATGCATGGTTTTCTGGTGCAGGGATACTGAATGGAAGTAGAAGGTACGAAATGAGAATGAAGTTTAGGAAAGATTACAGTTTTCAAGAGGCCTTTGTTTTTGTAACGTTTTGTATGAGCAACTACACCAGTCTCCTTCAGTAGCTATTGATTTACTGAGAGTCTTGACAGCATCTTTGCTTAATACTCATCTAAAAGTCTTTGTTTCCAAATCACAACACCAAATTTAGTTTCCTCTCATTTTAATATTCTTTCATTTTAAAGTGCCTTAATTGTGCCCGCAGCTCGGTTGTGAAGCATTACAGCCTTTGCAGAGAGATTTTCTGTAAATTTGTCGCTGACTTTTATGTTTTCATTAAATCCTTGAAAGGTTGTACTTTTTTGCAGTATTTAACTTAATATTGTATGCAAACATCATCCTTTCCCTAAAAAATATACCTTATGGACTTCCATTAATTATAAGCCAATACTGATACTAGATTTGTCATTGTCAAGCTTGCTGTATGCTGCATTGGTTTTGGTAGCTGACTGATGAACATTATTTGCTGGTATAAAATACATTTGCATCAAATTGTTACAAATGAAGACTTTAACTTTGAGATGTAAAAGTCTCCATAAGTCTTTCTTCTACAGTACATCAATGTAATGAGAACATTAAGAAAATAATGCTAACAATGCTGCTTTGTATCAAGAGGCACTTGTGAATTTTGTTGCTAGTCATAATCATGGTAATTTTGGGAAAACATGTTCCTTCAATGATTTTTTCTCTTTTTTTCAGGTGAATTAGTGCCAAATAGCAGGCAAAAGGACAATCCAATCATAAGCCAGACATAACCGTGACAGCTGTGGGGTCTGTTGTAAACTAAAGGGTGTATTGTTGTTATTTAGTGTACAGAGCACAAGTATTTCCCAAAGCATGTGAGATTGACACCTGGAGAGCAAGCTGATTACTTGTTTCTTTGTTTTTGTTTTTTTTCTGGTTCATTTTGTGTACTGTATCAGTGTTCGGGTGTATGCACCTTTTTACAGTTTGTCAAACTGTCCAGTCTAATGTATATAATGGAAATAAATGCTTTTTTCTGTAAAATTTGAGAATTAAGCTGTTTATTTGCTTAGTGAGTACAGGAACATCTTACATGCCACCTTATGGCTCTCTAATTTGGGCTTCTTTATTCAGGGTTTAGAGACCACTTATTTGGGGTCTCTTTTTTATTCCACTGTGAGTAAAACTTAAAACTACTGAATTTTAGTGACTCTTATAGATTATGCTAATGTTAAAAAAAAGCTATGTTGCACACCTATGAGTAAAGCATTGCATCATGTGAAGAATTGTTTTATTTTGTTTAAATGCATCAAATCTTACCAAATGATCTTTAAAATATAGCACCAGCATTTAATTTAAAACACTGATCTCTAAGAGCAGGTGACTAACCCTTTGCAAATGCGGTTTCAAAATTATAGAATAATTTACCCCATAATGGAGCTTTGTGATAAACCTTGCAGGGTGTACCTTAATCTGTGATGATAATTTTACTATATTTTCCGGTTTTGGGATAACTTAAGATGAAATTATTTGGAAAATGCAAGATATGTACGGTAAGCATTTTTTTTAAGTTTTCTATTTTTAATTAAATTTGCCAGAATCACCTTTTAGATTTCTATAACTATCTATTTCTTTTATTGAAACAGGTGTAAATGAATCAGGTTTGAGAATTTATTTGTTTAGATCTACTCATCTATGCAGCCACTCCATAAAAATTCACTTTGTGTCCTTAAAGTAATCTTTTAACCAATTTGGTGGTATGATGACAGTTATTGCAAAAAAAATAAATAACAATAATCCTGACAGTTGTCATGCAATATTCTCCGTCTAATGTTCCCTCTGTATAAAGAATCTATTTTGTGAAGTTAACCGCATAAAAATGCATAAAAATGAAGCAGGTCTGTAATTCTCATCATGATATCTTGGCTGATTATTGCTTTCATGTTTTGAAGACATCAAACTATGTGTCTTGTTCTAACTTAACATACATACAGGTTACAAGAGGGCATCCTGTCATTTTAAATGTTCTGAGTTAAACTATTTTAATGCCTTTCCTAAACTCTTTAAAAGCATAGTCATCTTATGTCTACCTAACAGAAACTGACCAAAAACAGGAGACATTTAGGCATATTTTAATGTCATGTGATTTTTTTTTTTATTTTGTTTTTTTTTATAGTGTGTCTGGTTAAAACTGTTCATAGAACGGATTTCAGAGAAAGGAAAACTATTAACTGAAATAAATCATGTCCAAATATAAAGATGGATTTAATGGGGAAAACATGAGGGAGAGAAACTGCCATTAAAGAAGCATTGAATGTGATAATAAAGAGCACAGAGCAGGTCTGCCTGCTTCTGCTTTGACTGTCTCTCTCAGTCAAATGGACGGAGCAGAAGGCCCTTTTATTGAATTAGTCAAATGAGGCCCGGCTGACATAACGGGGCAGGTGACTGCTGGAGGAGTGATCTCCCAGACAGACCAAAATCCTAAAAGACGACGATCGTACACAGCATCATCGTGGGTAAGTATCCGCCTCCTTTATTCTGTTACCTCTCAGGCATTTAGATATTCTAAAGGTAGCAAAACCCTTTTTTAACTCTGTCATTAACTGTGAAACATTCCTGCTTTTATTGCTCTTGTGTCCATTTATAACTTAGAGTAATTAATGCTTTCCTTTTCCTATATTTATAAAACAACCTTTGTGTGAGACATACAGCAGAGCCAGATGTGTCAAATCTTTAAACATGAGTTTTCATGAAGAAATACATCAGTGAAGTATAGGAAACCACAGGATTAGAGTTTTTCTAAGTGAAATTTGCAGCTCTTTATGACCACAGGTTCTGTCTCGCATGACTGCATGTAAATGTGTCTGTGCAGTTTGATCAGACATCTGAATATCACCTTCAACTATTTGAATTCCAGCTCATTACAGACATGATAGTCTCAGACCTGCTACTGAAAAACAAGGCCTCTCTAAGATGGAGTTAATAGTGCGGGTACTCTTGGTCACAAGGCTCTTATAAAGTTTTGGCTTAAGCTGTGAAGCATGAGAGACACAGACAGGGGAAACGGGTGGAGAGAGAGAATGGGGGGGGTTCACAAGCCAATACCATGAATGCCTCCCACTGCTGCCATTTTAACACATCCATCTCAAAATAACGCTTCTGCTGCACTAAAGCTGTAAGAGAATGCATCTGTCGATCTGTTAAACCGGCGTCAACCAAACACTAGATGAGCAGAGCTGCACTTTTGGCATATTAGCTGATACAGGAGTATGAGGAGTTTAACTCTAAATATGGTAGTACTCTATCGAGTCTGTCCAAAAAATCTCACTTTCAATAATTCTGACATTTATATAGATGGTTCAATTTCAAAATTATCTGTTTTAGAATAACAGTTAATGTAAAAAATATAACTTTACTGTTAATCTCTATTCTTTAATTTTGATTGATTGATTGATTGATTGATTTTATTGATCTCACAGTGGAGAAATGTATTTGTTACATCAGCTCAAATAGTCAAAGGAGAAGAAGAATGTGCAAAGGAAGAAAAAGATGCATGGGATATATATATATATATAGTATGTACGTGTGACAGCTTTTTTTTTTTTTTTTACCTATTCACTAGATATATTCAGTTTGACTTTGTACACTTTTGTCTTTGATGCACCTTCTCCTATTGCATGTCCTGTTGTTCAATAGAGCTGATGTCACAAGTTCATTTCTCCATTGTGAGATCAATATAGTTTTATCGCTAGCCCTAATAAATTCTTTTCCATTATGTTCTACAGAGGAATAAGAGCGAATATATTGCATGTCCGTTGTAATATTCAATCAGTTAAAAAGTAAAGGATTGGTACCTTTCAAAAGTATTTGCACCTTTTGACAATTTTAAGTAAGATAAACATGAATGTTTTCTATCTGTTTTTTTTGATGGACAAACTAAATATAGCTCATAATTTTGAAGTTGAATTAAATTCAAATAAAAAAAAAAAAAAAAGTTTTATGGACGTAGCCATTTGCTAGAGAACTTTAATGAGCAACAATTATCATGTAGTTTAGAGAAAATAACATAAAGGCCTTGGTTAAAGTTGAGTAAATTAAAGCAGGATAATAGTGTAAACCATATTTAAAGTATTGTGCATCTTTAAAAGCCTTTTTTGATTTATTATCCAAAACTAGAAAGAACATCTCACAACTATCAATGTGTTTTTGTCTGTATAAACTGGCAGAATGGTCAAGAACAGCATGAATCAGAGAAGAGGCCTTAGAGGTTAACTCTAAGGGACATGTAGAGATCACAGCTTGCTCGGACAAATCTGTCAACAGGAACTTAGGTGTGGAAAATACAATTGTTGACTTTTATGGAAGAGTAGAAGGAAAAACACATGCCCACAGACCATCTCTACGGTCAGTGGTCATCACCCTCAACGATCCAAAGAGCCATATTAGTCGAAATCCTTCCAAATTAAACTAGAGCTGCCAATCTTACATTTTCTGTTACTTTATATAAACATTTCTAAAATGCCTGTTATTTTATGGTACAACCAAAGTTTTAGCTTATTTGTTTAGATTTTCTATAAAATTTTCTATAAAATAAAAAAGAAAATTCTATAAAATAAAAAAAATTGGGGGAAATGTTTAGTAACAAAAAAATTTCAAATATCATTAGTGCTATTTAAATGTGGAAAGTATTTTCAAATATTGCATAAAACACACAGAAAAGCAGATAAAACTTAACTTTTTTCATGTCTGTATATCCAAAAACACCTTTCCGTTCTATATATATTTTGCAAAAAATCATTAGGGATCAAATGTAGCTTTAAGATCTGTAGGCTTTAGTCCTCTACACACAGTGAAACACGGGGTTGGCAGCATCATGCTGTAGGAATGATTTTCTTAAGCATGAACAAGGGAGCTGCTCAGAATAACTATAACATAGACTGAATTGAATGCATTCAAACCTGGAAGAAAACCACTATGGTGACGAAAAAACACCCAGAGTTACGCTTAGATAATAAAATGTTAATGTTTTAGAATGGCCCAGTGAAGCAGGAATCCGTGGTAAGAATTGCAATTTTATGCTATCCATTTAATCCACTTGAGTTAGAGCTATTCTTGGAAAAAAAAAAAAAATCAGGGTTTGGGAAACATCAAAATATTGTTACCTTCACACCTTGTTACCAGTAAGAAGAAAAAAAAACATTCTTGTAGATTTAAATTTCATTTTGTGAGCCTTTCAAAACACTGGAACCATTTAAATTTACCTGTTCTTACATTTAACTGCAGCATTGCTTCGCTAGAATTATAATTGCATTAATCAGATATCCATCTGATAAATTGAAATGACTTTTATAGTTTGTGTTCTATCAATAGAATTACCAGGTATTTCATTCTTTTGGGATTTTGCTGTGTAGACTTAGTGCTTTCTTTGTACGTTAAAAATACTCCTGACCACCTGACAGTAAAGTCAGTTGAGCTGTTTTCCCCTTGTTATAATCCCACATGCAGCATCCATCATGTCTGCGGCTAAAACGGGCTCATCAAACCACAGGGTGAACAATTCCCATCATGTGTCAGAGCCTTTGTGACTCAAATGAAGTATTCCCAGCGACCTTTCTATGGACCCCGTCACCAAAACAATCATAAACATTCAGACAGTCTGAAAGGATGCTCGCACGGCAAAAACAAGCCGTGTATATACAGTGGTTATTGGCAACATGGGGTTCATCATGACACAGCAGGTGTTCCCATAACAGAACAAAATGGTTTGACAGAAAAATAAAACTCATTGATTAAATTCCATGGGGGAAAAAAAAGATTTATTTATTTAGTTGACGTATTTGTCTGCAGGCCTGGGATCATTGGATCATATCTGACCTTGGCACCTAGCAGCTGACCTCTTATCAAGCTTATCCTGTTTCCTTTTTGGCCTCTTGACTCATTGGCAGTGGTCAGACCTGTTTAATTATAGCCCCTGCAACATTCCTGTTTGACAGAATAGAGAGAGAGAGATAGTG